ATTTATTTATTTCTCTTTATGCCATTTGTAAAGACACCGCTGCCCTTTTCTGTCATCTGTCATCCATTTTTGCCACTTGGAAATTTCTGATTTTTGTGCACCTGCTGATGCTGGTGGTCTGGACTGCTTGCCATTGCTGTGGGTTGCTACACTACACTGACTTTTTGAATTGTGAATTTCTGCGTTCTTCATACTTTGGCTATTTGCAATCCAGTCAAGCATGTTCTCATTCCTATAAACACAAAGCACTTTTATTCTTTGTTTTTTTGGATCTTCTTAATGCCTTGGACTCAGTGATATTTTATGGACAAGTGATCAAGGGGAGATTGTGTAGTCTGGCATCTCTTTACCTGTTCCCCTTTAAGTCTTAGATGTTATCAGCTTTGAGTTTGCTTGAGTGTTGCCTTGCTTAAATATTCTGAAAGAGGAGGCAACTTGCTCAACCCATGTGCTCTAGATCAGCCATTACTTTTAAGTATTTCTCTTAGTTTCTCCCTCATTTGTCTCTTGGCCTGCTCAGCTGTCCCACTGTGCTGTTTGAAGAGAGGAGAGGGGCTACAGACGTGACCTTCTCTTGATTCATTACTTTGTTAGTTTTGGCATTCTATGCATTTTTAAATATAGCTTTTCCTTTTATAGGAGTAAGTATTTCTGTTTGAAGAGCTTAGTGAAAAACACGTTTCCCCGTTCTATCTTAGGCCCAGCAGCTGATTGGCACAAGGCTGTAGATCAGAACTGGCCCCTGGCTCCTTCAGACACCAGTTAGAGGAGGCGATACTGAAGTGGTTTGAGGCTGACAACTGGGAATGGTATTTCTGTTAAATGTTGGTTCCAGCTCTCGCTGGAGAATTCAGTGTTGAGAGGCTGAGCAGACCCCAGCAGATATGACTGGAGAAAAGAGGGACAAGAACAGAATGAAAAGTTCTCTCTTTTCTTTTTTCCCCATCAGAGCATTGTCTTTTTAAGCATTGTCTGCTATTTAAAGATTGAGTGCCTATCCAAGGGCTGAAATTAATATCTAATCTTGATTTAGGTCATAGAATCGCAGAATTGTTTGGTTGGAAAAAACCTTTAAGGTCATCAAGTCCAACCATAACCTGACTCCACCAAATCTGGAGCTAACCCGTGTCCCGTAGTACCCTGTCAATGCGTCTTTTGAACAACTCCAGTAATGGTGATTCAACCACCTCCCTGGGAAGCCCACTCCAGTGTTTAATCACCCTCTCACTGAAACAGTTTCTTCTAATGCCCTACCTAGACCTCCCCTGTTGCAGCTTTAGGCCATTTCCTCTTGTCCTGCTGGTTGTAACTTGAGAGAAGAGACCCACACCCAACTCACTACATCTTCCTTTCAGGTAGTTGTAGAGGGCGATAAGGTCTCCCCTCAGCCTCCTCTTCTCCAGACTAAACAACCTCAATTCCCTCAGATGCTCCTTGTACATTCTGTGCTCCAGACCCTTCACCAGCCTTGTTGCCCTTCTCTGCACCCCCTTCAGTACTTCAACATCTTTCTTGTAGCGAGGACCCCAAAACTGAACATGGTACTCGAGGTGTGGTCTCACCAGTGCTGAGTACAAGTCATGGCTATAAGATTGACCATCTAGTACAAAGCAATAAATACAAAATTTGTCTGAAATGACAGGCCAACTTCTCTGCTCACTGGCTGAAATAACTGTGTTCCCATCGCAATGTGATGGCCTGGCTGGCTTTGACTGTGGATCCCAAGAATTGCAAGTTTATGGTCTGTCAGGCAGTGCAAACATCCGTCCTTCAAGTTTTCCCCACTTGTTATACTTAGAAGACAGAACCAGGGAGACATTAAGAAATAAGTGGCAGAGATGTTATCTGCTTTGATGCATGTATTCCCCAGGCTGGGAGACTGAGTGCTGGGATGGTTGTACTCCTGTGGTCTCAAAGACCAACAAAGCACCACCTGTGAACGTGTGTGGGTTGTAGAGGTCTGAAATGGCATGGAGGAGATCCTTATCCTCATTTTTCAGCTATACCTTGTTCTCCAGCAGAGACACAACCTTCTGTGTACCTATAGCACAGAGGTTTTAAAGTTTGGGCTATCGCTGCTTATAAACCAAGAACAGCTCATTAAACAAGGTCTGCGTTAGCACTGAGTGGCCCTATGAAACAGCAGTATCACTCAGTAGCCAAGTTTTCCAAGGGGAGTGATCTCCTGTGAATGTGCTGTAATGAGCTCCTGACACACTCATAGCGTTTCTCTCCCAGCGAGGTGGCACCCTCAGGGACAGCCATGCTCAGGGCTGGACATGTGCCCCTTAAAATCCCCAGGACTGCAGGACTAACCCTGCCTCCTTGCTGCATCATGTGGCTGAGGGTGCTCAGGTGGCATCTTGCTTTTGGGGCTGAAAACACCCCCAAAACCAAGGCTTCTTTGATCTTACATGGTCCCTGTAGTTTCTAACACAGTTAAAAGGATCTTGTCCTAGTGTCCTCATCAAATTCCCATTTCATTCTTTATGCCCCCTCTCAGGCTCCTTGCTGGGACCCAGTTCTTTACTGGTCTTCAGCTTCCCAGCCTGTAGAATCCCATGGGATGGGGGATTGTGTGGAGAAAGGAAGGAAGGGCACTTCCTTTGGGTGGACAGGGGGATCCAAGGTCAGAAGGAGGGAGCCTGTGAAAGTCGGGAAGTGGGAGCAAGGGATGAAGTTCAGAGGAGAGGCAGCAGCTGGGGTAAGAAATGGCATTCTTTGGGCTGCACAACTACATCTCAAGAGAGCTGAGGAGCTCTTCACAGAGATGCTTAGCAGTGAGTTCTCAATGTGTCTCAAGACTTTGCCTCTTAAAAAGCCTTTCAGGGCCCTGTGACTGCACTGACGAGCAATCAGATGCTCAGGGAACAGGTTTTGCTATCCTTTTCCTGCTGCGTTGGCCTCACCTCGCAGGCGACCTCTGTGGCTGCAGAGGTGTGCTGGGGGATGCAAGGAGGGAGAGTTTCCATCGCAAGAGGGTGGCAGTTCTGCTCTCTGGCCAGCTCTCCCCAGGCTTACTTGGTGTAATGCAGAGGCAGGCTGGGGAGCTGGAGGGGGTTTCTGTTACCCAGTCAATCAGTCATTTCCCAATGTTTATTTTTTATCCCCCTGGCCGAGCCCTCCCCTCGTCCCTGCCACTCTGGGCGATGGGAACTTTTGTGATCTCTGAGCAGCAGAGCCTGGCGGGCAGCCTGCTCGATGCTAGGAGCTCATTCTCAGCCATGTGAGAGGAGAAACGTCAACAAGGAGAGATGGAGTTAGAACTTTATTAGGAGAAACCTAGGCACAATTGACTAAAATCCCATGTTAAGGAGAGCACACAGATGTTTTCAGGATTAAAAAATACACATATAGAAAAAAACTTACAAACAAAAAAATGATTTTCCACCCCTCCACCCCGCTACGTGTGTGTATGGATGCATGTATATGCACAGGGAACTGTACCAAAGTTAACTGTGTATCGGGAGCAAGGATTTACAGCCCCTTTCAGCAGCTCCTAGGAGAGGGAATGGCTCAGTCCCCTCATAAGGTGGTCCCAGGCCATTCGCTCATGCAGTCCAACATTGGGAAGCTGTGGCCCGTGTCTGAAATGGCAGCGCAGGGTAAACAACAGGGACAGCTTAGCTCTGGTCAGCAATTCTCTTTAAAAGAGGGATGGCAGCTCTGCAGTGAGAAAATGTATCTGGAGTGGGAGCTGCTTACAGGTCTAACCCACCTGACTCACTGTGCCGTGTTGGCCCCCAGTGGCTGCTCCGAGAGGCTACAGTGGTGGAAAGAGCTGGTCCATGGGTGGTTTTCTTATGCCATATGGGCTAGGGATGGATTAGAGATGAAGATGACCTGATGGCAGAACATTGGCTTGCAGTGAGGACAGATATTTTGGCTTGCATTGACTGGTACGCTTGAGAGAGCAGCCAAGTGGTGTGCAAGACCTGGAGAGGACTCTTGCTCCTTGCAAAAGAAGCTGAAGTGTTTTAGTAGGTTAGTGAGAGAAGACACAGGCCGTACCTCTTCTGCAGATAAACACAGGATGTTTTTGTCAAGTTGGCAGCACCCTTTCAGCAGCATTCATGTTGCTTGAAAGATGAGTTTAAAAAGGGGAAGAATCACTTGGATTCCACGTGGTAATTCCTCCTTTTCCACTAGTAGAATATTTGTTCTCTCAGGAGAGGCTCTAGTTCTGTTAATGGATGTCTTGCTTAGAATCGATGACGTAAGTATCTCAGGAAAATTCCCTCGTCTTCATCAACTGGTCATTTAAGCAATATCCCCAGGCCCCAGGGCCAGTATGCTGTGCTGACTTAGGAATGAGGAACGCTAGACATGAGGCAGCTGTGTGCGGGCGTCCACAAATGTCCTTAGCTATAGGGAAGAGTTATATACACAGTGTCAAAAAATTCAAGTAGGATTTATTGTATAGGTAAACTGGTATAAAATATCCGAGCTCAGGTAGAGAAAGGGAGGGTTAGAAAGCGTGAGAGCAAAGCAGCTGAGAAAGTCTTCGTTTCAGAAAGCCTACTGGTGTGTTTCTGCTCCCAGCAGGTGACAGAAGCTTCAGCTCAGTGTAACTGCCAAGCTGATGGAGCAAATGTTGAATGGACACCAAAGAAGATGCCAGGGGTTTGAGGTCCAGTCAGTCTGTTGGACACAGTGTCACAGTGGATACCTGCTGGCAAGCCTCAGGAGCCTGCTGGCCTGTGCTCTACCAGTCTGCTAAGAGGGGCGAGACTCCACTCCCTGTGGGTCCCCTGATGAAAACATGGCCAAGCACTTCACATCTCAAGATTGGTGCCTCTCTTCAGTGTGTGTCTCCCGGTGGCTGCCCCCATCTTAAGCTGTGAGAGGTGCTGTCTGCAGTACAAAAGTGATGTTTACTGGAAAGGAGCAAGAGGGTGTTAAAACAGAGAGAGGTTAGTGGCAAGAGTCTGGAGTCCACTTTGCAGAGGTTTTACTGAGCGCCGAGACTGCTCCTTCTCCTCATGTCTCCTGGGGACAGCTCACACAGACAAATCGTCCGACCTTGCCTTGCTGCTGGCACGGCTGGTCTTGCTGAGCCGACGTTTCTCATTGAAGTAGGTCTCGGGGAAGGCGGGTGCCGCACATTCATTGGCCACCTCCGGGTTCTCCGCGTAGCTGGACTTAATGAAGGGCCCTTCACCAGCAGCATCCTCCTGGCCGTGGACCCTCTCGGTGGCAAAGTTGGCAGTGTTCTGCTGGGAGGCCATCTTGTTGCTGAAGGGGCTGATGAACTTCCCGTTGGGGCTTGACAAGCACTGATTAAAATCTGGTGGAGGGGTGTACATCTGGGCCCTTTCTACCTGTGGGGCGGACTCCAACCTGCCGGGGGCTGTGCTGGGGCTGGGTTTGTAAGACCGGGAGCACCTCTCTTTGGCTTTCTTCCAGCCCAGGTGGTAGAGCTCAGCCAGGCTGAGGAACAGGGAGAGCACTGCCACAGCCAGCATGAAGACGATGAAGACGTTCTTCTCTGTGGGACGGGAAACGTAGCAGTTGACAGGGTGGGGGCAAGGTGCCCGCTGGCAGATATACAGGGTCTCCAGGAAGATCCCGTACAAGATGTACTGTCCCACAATGAAGGCCACTTCCATGGCAGTGCGAATCAAAATGCTGTAGACGTAGGTGTTCAGCAGACTGCCCCTGAGGATGATTTTGCCTCCCGATTCATCCCAGCAAGACAGCTCAGCCTTCTCTGCCACGGGGCACTTCTGCTGGTAATATGTGTCACCGTTGTTCTTCATCTCCTGGGCCTCTATTTCTGCCTCCTTCATCTTCCTCTTCTCCTCCATGCGCACCGTGTGCATCGCGTGGCCCATGTACACCAGAGATGGGGTGGAGACGAAGATGATCTGCAGGACCCAAAACCGGACATGGGAGATGGGGAAAGCTTTGTCGTAGCAGACGTTCTCGCAGCCAGGCTGCTGGGTGTCGCACATGAAGTCAGACTGCTCGTCCCCCCAGGAGGACTCAGCTGCTGTACCCAGCACCAGCATCCGGAAGATGAAGAGCACGGTCAGCCAGACTTTACCCACCACTGTGGAGTGTTTGTGGACCTCCTCGAGGAACTCTCCCAGGAAACTCCAGTCTCCCATTTCTGCTCACCAGGAGGAGCAAGAGGTCCTGAAGGCAGAACTGGATGCAGCTTCTGCGGGAAAAAATAGAAGAGAGTTGTTCTAAGGAGGGTTAGGAAATGCCCAGCTGGGAATGTATGGAGTTAAATGATTTGTTTTGTGTCAAAGGAAATGTTTTAATTTGACCTGAAATGAATGAGGTCTGGTTTGCTGAAAACTTTTTCACATCCACTGAAAACGTGTTAGGATTTTATTTTTTATTCAGATGCTGAAACAAAAAGTGATCTTTTTTGCATAATCCAGCTACAGCTTCTTAAATGGACTGCCAGAAGCTTGAGGGTGAGCCAGATTTTCTCTTGGTTCAGAAAGTCCTTACACTGCGGTTTGCATATTAGATCCTCTGTGGACTGTGTAGTTGAAGCAGTATTCATCTGCCTGCAAACTGTGCTCTGGGGACTCCTTAGTGGGCTGATCCCCTGGCAGATGAGGCTGGAGTCTGCAGCTTGAGCTGCGCAGTGCCTCAGCACTTTCAGGTGTCGCCTTTGTGTAACACCTGCACTGACACCAGGAACGTGAAGTGCTTGCAGCTCTGGGCTTAATTTCCGATCTTGATGCCACCACTGAAAGAAATTCAGAGAAAACTTTCCTGTTGCCCACCTGGCCCTTGCCCATAGATTTTGCTTTGGTTTTGTGGTGTTTCTGGTTTGTTGTGGTTTATACAGTTGGTCTATCACCCGGTGCCTCCTTCCCACTCAGGAAGGGGATTTGGGAAAAGGAAATGAGATTTGTGGGTTGAAATAGAAATATAGTTATTAAAATAATAATAGTAAAAACGAATATAAATAACAGTATAATATAAAATGCACAGAGTTATACTCAGCCAATATTGTGGGGGAGTAGGCCTCAGGGATAGGATGGTAAACAAGTCCCTCTCGAGATGTTAGCCATGGAAGAGGGAAGAAGGAGCAGGAGGTGGGAAGAGAAGGGCCATTCCCAGCAAACTCCCCAATTTATAGTGAATGTGATGTTGATGGTATGAATAGCATTAATTGATCAGCCTGGGGTCACCTTGGGGTTGTCTTCTAGGTTTCCACTCCCCCCAGTGTCTGCATGTGTTTATCTCAAGACCTTGAAGACGTTGAGCACTGTGGCAACCTGCACGCCAGCATTAGTTGAAACCTATTACAAAGATTTGTCACTTTGTTCCCATGAAATAGTGTGTTGTGGCCCTTACCAAGTTGCAGTTTTCCTCAGCAGAAAACTGACTCTAAAATTCTGTCCCACTAAACCAGGACACAGTTGCAAGTATTTCATTTACAGCCTGCAAATGTTTTGGGGAGTGTAAAGACTTTGGTGAGCTCTGCCAGTCCTGTAAACCCAATCTGCTGCCACCCTGTCACACTTCTCTGAGAGGGAACTGCTGCAAAATCTAAACGGTGGATCTTGCTCCCTCCTCTTAAGTTCTGAGACAAAACTCAAGGTTTAAATGACACAAGCAAAGAAAAAAGCCTCCTTTGAAATGCTTCCCAAGGACCAGCAGCTCCTAGGAAATGCTGTTTGGTAGGTGGTCTGATGAGGGAAAGGTTTGGTGGGCTGGTAGCAAGATTGCTACGTGAGGATTTAGGAGACCCTGCTTCAGTTTTATTTCTGACTCAGACTGTTTCTGCTCAGGTCACTTAACCTCCTGGATAAAAAGAGAATGATGGGTTTAATCCATCTTTTGCGGGGCTGTGTGGGAGTGCTGGAGCAATCATTTGATCCAGTTATACTGACCGTGCTTACCTTCCCAGGGCACTGCAAAGCTCTCCCTTGTGCTTGAGTTAAGGGATAGGTGCTATAAAGTATGCAGTATTACCTTGGAGATAATGTTCTCTCACAGTCACTCTTTTTTGAAAATACCCTTTTAATAAATAAATGAAAAGCTTAATAATCATCATAATGAAATATTAAAAGCACTAGACAAGGTAAATCCCAAAGCTGTAGGATCCAAAAGTGTTAACTCTCCTTCTTTATTGTCCCTTGTCTTGTCTTTAAGAGCCAATTATTTTTACTGTACAAATAACGTCTGTGGAGAGTAGGCACTGTTAAACGCTGAGAATTTACTGCAGCAATATTGTGTAGATTTCCTGTGAGCAAAAGCTGGAGAACAGAGAGATACGCTTGTTGAGGGAACAATGTCCCCTCCTCAGGTTATGTACATGTTATAATTTAATGTAGCAGTGCACACGATGATTTATGCCATTGCTTGTTTATGTGCAGTGTCCATCTGCAAGGATGGATGGGATGGGACAAAGATCAGAAGTCAAATCCTTAAGCTCCTGGTCTGCTGAGGGCTGCCCTGAGGAAAGGTGAAGGTTACCCAGGTAAGGAGATGGGGAAGTGACCACTTGCTGCCCCACCACCAGCTGGAAGCCTCGAGAGGAGGGAGAAGGAGCCTACCAGGAAGCAAAGGATGGACTTTGACTTTTTCCTGCTTTCGCAGGCTGATGTGAATCCTGGTGGCTGCTCAGAGGATGCTGAAGCTTTCACCTGCTGCCAAACCAGAGCTGGAGGAACAGTGACAGAAAATCAGCTGGTCTTACGGACTTCTCTTTGCTCTGGTAAAAACTGATGAATCTGCAGGTCTGTCTTAGCTTCTGCAATGGCTTTGGTGCAGTTACTGCATTCTGGAGAAATTAGCATATGGCTTCATTTTGTGGGTGCCAGGGCATTACAAACAGGCAGATAAATCAATGATAGGAATTATTTACAGGCAGTTGCATTGCAATCAGGTTTTTTAATTTTTTTTTTTCCCCAGAAAGCAACCAACTACCTACAGGTCACTGTACAAGTGTATTCAAGACAATATGGTACAGCATAACTGTACGTGTGGAATATTCCTTCCAAGACAGCGTGAACAATGGTTTGTGTCCTAATTTTTCCAGGTGAGTTTGAGTTGTTTGCAGGTGTCCCTCATGCTCCTGCTTTTGGTGGTTGGCAGCTGCCTTTTCTTGATTCACCTTACTTGTTGGGGTAAAAATAAGGATGAGTGCCAAGGATGAGTTTTCCTTCCTGCATGTGCATGCACAATCACAGGCTGAGCACCTCTTCCCAGCAGTTCTACCCTGTGCAGGTAGTTTGGGGTTTTACTATGGCTTGTTTTCCCCAGGGAAAGGACCCCCAGACACTTGCAAATTGTAAAAATAAAAGTGCACGGAACACGAAGTTGGCAAATGTAAGTCCAAGAGGAGTCCAGAAATAAAAAATGTTAATGGATGTGAGAATAACAATCATTTACCTCCCTCACGCATACACAGTATTTTCCAAAAGGAGGTAAATCTGAAGGACCCAAGGCCAGCAGCCATGAGGCTTAATCTAGATATTAGGGCTATTCCCTCTGCCTTTCTTGCTGGCTGCTCCCCTGCACAGGCTGTTTAAAGAAGGGGCTGCCCAAAAAGCTGCCACAGCCCCACAGAGAGCCAGGTGCCTGCTACAAGGGGGTAGGTGGCCACAGGAAAATGGGTGTTGGATACCAAGCAAAGAGGTTTCCCTCCTCGCACAGTGTTTTTGACTTAGATATTTTCTAGTTATTAGTGAGCTATTCTTGCCGTGCCGGTCCAAGGGCCTCCTAGAACAGAAGAGAGCGTCTTGCTCTCTGCTGCCAGCAAGCAAAAAAAGGATTGTTGGCTTTTCCTGGCTATGCAGGACTGCCTCTCAGACATAGCCTTTCGCCTCAGAGCTTTACTATTCTTGGGAATTTTCTGTATAGTTCCCTTTCCTCATTCCCAGACTACTGTTGTCCCCCTGTGCTTTGACCTCTCAGCGTGTGAACATCTGTAGCCTTTTATATTCCTAGTTTGGATTCAGTCAGACAAATCTTGTCTCACTCTGGTGTGACTTGGTGAAAAATACCTCTGGGTATCTTTGTGGGGTCTCAGCACCTGATAGCAGACTGTCTTGCCAGCGAAGTCATGCATATTCATGCAGAGTCTTGGGCTGTGCCACTGCCTGCCTGTGCTTTTGGCTGTCAGCTTTTGGCTGGATCAAGGAAGGAGCTGTGTGCAGTCATGGGATCTCGGCACCGGGAAACGCGTATGTGACAAACACCAGCGCAGCCTGGCACAAACCCAGCGATGTGGCTGTCCCAGCTTAATCATCACCTGGAAGGCTATTAAAGCTGGGGAAAACCAAATATCACACCACAGGCCAGGCATGGAGTCTGCCCAGCTCTGGGCTGCCTTGTGACTGCCAAATTCCATGATAAAAATACCCCAGCGGGGATGGCACCTGCCAGTTCTCTGCCACTGTTTTTTTGTGCTGCCTTTTCCAGTGGGAGAGGAAGTGTCTGTTCCTCTTGAAGAAGTTTTGGCCATCTTCTTTGTGATGCTGCATGCTCTGAATGACAGGCGAGCATTTTCCATCGCTGCCACTTGCTCTGGCCAGCTCTCTTGCTCTAGATGAATCAGCTCGGGCTTTGAGGAGCAGCTAGGAAATTCACACCAAAGAGGCAGGAGGGATGTTCATATGCAATCCTCTTCATTATTTGGGCTTATTTCCCCTGGAATTGTTAGGAAGAAGTTTTTCCCCTCTTTAGAAGACGGGCGAGACTATCAGCAGCGATATAAATAGCTGAGCTTGACACTTCACACTAACTTTTCCCACAAGGAAGGTGACAGGAGGTCGTCATCTCTGCAGGATGTTTCTAAAATAAAGTGGAGAGCCTGATTATGACACTGTTTCTGCTCTGCTTCTCTGGGCTCACCTCTTCCCTTTGGCAGGTCCCAGGCACATGGAGAGGCTCTCTGAGGAAGGCTCCTTTGTGTCAGGGAAGTGTGGTTCCCAAGAGGAGGAAAAGTAACAAAGTCAAAGCCATTGTATTTTTGCCCAATCTGCATGTGTGTTTTGCTCAGTTGGATACAAATGTGTGTATCTGGTAGTTAATGAGATGTCCCAGTGAACTAGAAGGCTGGGGCCCAAGATGGCATGAAGAGGCTCACACACCAGACACAGGCTGTGTGTGGAGGCCATGCAGCAAGTCCATCCCCTCTGAGCTCCCAAACGGGGAGGCAGCTGACTCCTTTAGGTACTGGGCACC